AATCATATAGTTAGTTAGGCTTTTGAGACTGGCTGTACAAACTCAGCATGCTGCCCTCAATATCCACTTAAGTCTTAAGGACTAACAGTTATTGCTTCTTATAAATAAGTCATATCTCATGGTATGGATAAACCATAGTTTAACCATCTATCTATTGAGAATTTATTTTTAGTTTGTGACTATTATATATAAAGCCTCTGTAAACATTCCTGTATCTGCCTTTGTGGATATAGTCTTCATATCTTTGCTGGCTAGTTTTGTCAATTTGACACAAACTAGAGACACCTGAGAAGAAGGAATCTCAATTGAGGAATTTCCTCCATCAGATTGGCCTGTGCGCATATCTGTGGTGCAATTTCTTTTCTTTTCTTTTCTTTTTGTGTGGGGGTCTTCATTTTCTTTTAAGTTTTATGAATGAAGAAAGGTATTTTTTGATGAAATTTAAATCCCCTTCCCTATTACACACTGCCTACCACACCCTTCCCAATTTCAATTTCATGTACTCTAATTATATATATTAGAGTCAAATATATATATTTCCACTGGAGCCTGGTCAACCTATCAAGAGTCTCAACTTTAAACAAGACTCTCCCTCCCAAAAGCCATCCATTGCCAATAGTTTCTAGGGTTGGACTCTCCTACTCACCTTCCTGTATCAATGCTGGGACTTTGGCTTGAGCTTACCTAGGACTTGTGCATGCTGTCACTATTGCTGTAAGTTCATATGAGTCCAGCTGTCTGGAAAACTCTGTTTCCTTGTTGTCATCCACCACCTCTGGCTATTAAAATCTTTCCACCCCCTCTTCCACAATGATCCATGACCCTTGAGAGGCAGAAGTTTGATATAAGTGTCCTATTTAGGCATAAGCACTCTGCAGCCTCTTATTCTCTGCACATTGACCAGTCATGGGTCTCTTTGTTAATCACCATCTGCTGCATAAGGAAGTTTCTCTGGTGAGAGTTGAGAGATACATTAATCTGTGGGTATGAAAATAAGTCCTTAGGAGTCAGTTTAATACTTTTATCTATTTAGCAGAATAACAGTATTAGGCTCTCCCATGTGGCCTGTGACCTGTCTAGCCACATGTTCTTAGGGCTGATATCAGTGTCAGGCATGGGCTCCGTTTTCTGAAACGGACATTAAATCCGATTAGAAAGTGATTAGGTTAACTCTTATAATATTCATGCCACTATTACATCAGTGGGAATATGTTGCTCTTGTACCTTGTAGGATTCATAGCTGGGAATAATAGAGTAGGAAGGGTTAAATGGGATAAGGAATGGGAGAGCAGGGCAGAAGAGGGACTATGAGGAGGGATCACTAACACTAAAGGAAAAAACCATATGCAAACCTACCACTAAAGAATCTTCTTAAAGTAAATATATACATACACCTTAAAAACAGATTAAAAGGAGTTACCTTATAATTGGGGGGCATTGCCCCTTCTAGACATCATAGGCCAGCAAAATAAAAGCCCAATACCAGAAATGGACTCCCTGTTTTGAAGCAGTTCCATGGACCCTCAAACAATACTGGACATTCCCCATGCTCTCAGTTACCTACCAGAACCTGATGGTAAGATCTATTGCTGAAAACACTGCATGCTTGAGCTGTAGAACAAACAAGGAGAAATCGGACTGGTACTGACTTCAAAGCTTCATCTTTGCTGACTAGCTTTTGTAGAGCTGGAAGGTGCTGTGCATGCTACTGGAACAATCTTTTAAACAGTAACTAAGAATTTCTGAGAACAACTTTTGGCTGTATCCTTCAAGTTCTGATTTATATTATTTTTACTGTTTTAATATTATTGGAGTTGGTTCTCTCCTTCTACCATGTAGGTTCTGTGGCTCAACCTCAGGTTGTCAGGCTTGGTGGCAAGTACCTTACCCACTGAACTATTTCATTGGCCCTAATTTGAAATTTTTATCAAATTAAAATTTAATTTAAATTTCCTCACCCTGGGAAGGAAATAAGTATATTTTCTTTTATAATATTTTATTTATGACCAGGTGTGGTGGTGCATGCCTTTAGTCCCAGCACTCAAGAGGCAGAAGTAGGTGGATCTTTGTGAGTTCAAGGACAGCCTGCACTACATAGTCAGGTCAGCTGGGACTACAGGGGAGACCCTTTCTCAAAAAGACACAAAAAAAATTTATTTTTTTATTTTGTTTTTATTGAATTTTTGTGTATTTTATTTCAGAAGAGGGTGTGGAAAGATTGTAAGAGCCAGGGAGGAGGTGCATGAGGGGATAGAAGGATTGTAAGAACCAGGGAGGAGGAGTATGACCATACAGAAACATAGTTCTACAGGCACCTGGGACCCTTCTCAGATGAATCTACAGCAATGGTGTCAGCATACACAAGTCCCATGCAAACTCAAGCAGACAAAAACCCAGCACAGAACTGAGGAAATGGACAGCAGACCCCAATCTTAGCTGAAGAAATTTTGGCAACTGATTACTGCTAAGTGAGGAAGAACTGATCTTCCTAAAGCAAGGGACTCTAGAGAATCTGAGTAGAGAGGAACATCTGGGAACACTAACTTGACAGAATAGGCCTTAACACAAATGACAGAATGTATATTTTCAAAATATATGAATCAAAGCTGCTGGTAAGTGGAAATGAAAGCTTATTAGATTTGCCTACAAGACTAGTTTTTGAAATTAAAATGTAGAGAAGCAATGCCCCTAAGCTTGTCACAGTCTTCTCATAAGGCTGTTTGGAAAAAATTTTTCCCAATATACCAAGACTTGATTTAGCATATAATATTTTAGAGATGTCTTAAAGGCATCTTTTAAGATACATTAAAACAACAACAACAACAACAAAGATAATATCAAATGATAAATTCTATGATTCATTAATTTTTGTGTTTCTATAGGTTGGCTATGTAGTGTTTTTGGTTCCTGTCTAGAAAGGGCTATAGTGTAATAAATAATATGTTAGTGTGAAAACATATTTGTTTTATGAGGTTTTTAATTAATTTTTGAAGTAGTTTTAAATTTTTAATTATTTTATGTGTATGAGTGTTTTGCCTGCAAGTATGTAAGTGCACCACATGCATGCAGTGCCCTTGGAGGCCAGAAGAGGATGTTAGATCCACTGGAACTGGAGTTACAGTTACTAACCATGTGTGTTCTGGGAACTGAACCAGGGTCCTCTGCAAGAGCAGCCAAGAGCCATCTCTTCAGCCCCCAATTTTTGAAGTATTTTTAATAAGCTAATGAATAGATGAATACTTCGTGATGCACATTTTTTTCCTAAGTATTTCTGATAGAACATTTAAAAAATGTTCTAAGTATGGGGCTGGAGAGATAGCTCACCAGTTAAGAGCACTGGCTGCTCTTGCAGAGGACCTGGGTTCAATTCCCAGCACTCACATGGCAACGAACAACTGTCTGTAACTCTAGTTCCAGGGGATCTGACACCCTCTTCTGACCCCCATGGGTACTGCAAGACACAGGTGTACCTACCTACATGCATTATACTCACACACATAAAATTAAAATAATAGATTTTAAAAATGTTCTAAGTACACAAACTTACATTGAATAAACTTTATTTAGCTCTGATCTTTTTGGTAGTTGGCTCTGTCTGCATTAGTATTTGGTCCTGAAATGATGAAGCAAAGAAATAATGACATGTGGCATGTAATATGTGGTTTATGTGAGCTATTCAAAAACTGTATTTCTGCCAGCTAGCAGAAAAGTTTCTATAGTTCCAATACTTGAATTGTTTCTCTTTGTTCCTAGGGGAAATAGTAATCTTTCATCTACATAGAATGTAAAAGGAAATAAATGAATCATAAGTTATATTAGAGATATATGTATATATACATGTATACATATACATATATATATATATGTTTAACCTTGAACCAGTAAAACAGGGGGCTTCTACTTTGCAGTAATATTTTCACATTCAAAAATTGGTAAATAAAGAAGAATGTTTATTTTTCTTGAAGCCTTGCTGATCAAAGAAAAATAAAGGATTAACTAGAAAACTTTCACTAAGTAGTGTTGTAAAAATAGCTTTATGAAATATTTGAATGACACTAAAATGCTCTTAAGCTTTAGATACAGTTATATGAATGTATATTATGTATAAAAGAAAAAATTTTCCTTATTCAGTGTATATTAATTTCAGCTTTCTCTTTTATTACATTGGGATGAGTGTTGATCATTTAAAATTTTTAAGTTTTAAAACTAACTTTGAGGCTGATATATTAAATTAACCTTTTTAAATTTTTAGAAGTTTTATTTAAGCTGAGAATGGTGGCACACACCTTTAATCCCAGCACTTGGGAGGCAGAGGCAAGGCGGATCTCTGTGAGTTCAAGGCCAACCTGGTCTGCATAGCAAGTTCTAGTCCAGCTGAGGCTACGGGTAGACCCTGTCTCAAAAAGTCTAAAAATAAGTTTTACTTAAAAATTTAGCAGCTGTCTTTTAGGCCATTTTTTTTCCAGATAAAATTTTGTTCATCACTTAAATATACCATTAGCAGTGGTCAACCTGTACAAAATGATGAAGGTTTTTTTTTTTTTTTCATTCTGTTTTCATATTTGGGTTCCCTTTTCCTCCTCCTTAGCATTTGGTCTTCCTCCTTCAAGTTTCCCCATTTTGCCTGTCTGGAAATAAAGTCACTCATTTACTGGAGTGTTAACCCTGATGGGGCTGTATCCATTTTGTACAAAGAGTGATTAAAGAAATCAGTAACTGAAATATGCATACACCAAAAACAAAAAACAAGGAAGCACTAATAAATGGATTAATGGGTGGGTGAGTGGGTGGGTGATAGTGGTATTATGGGCATGAGAAATCTGTCTGAGAAGGTGTTTGCCTGGCACTCACTGTGCAGATGATGGTCTTTGTCTTTCCTGATGAAGAGAGTCTATTGGGCAGATTCTACCACTGCTACTGCTGCTGTATTGCAGCCACTGACATGCCTTACTTGTCATGCTAGCTTGAAATCAAATCCCTTTTTTGTTTGTTTGTTCAAGACTGAAAGAGCATTTTCCTTTTGTGGGACTATTGAATACATGGCACCAGATATTGTCAGAGGGGGAGATTCAGGACATGACAAGGTATGTTTTACTTTTGATATTTATGTATTTCCATAAAATGTGCAGTAAGAATAAATCCCAGTTAATAACTTCAGGAACAGACTTTTTAACAGAGCCCTCTTTCTGGTGTTATCTTACCTTCAATTATTTTTTGCCTTTGCTTTGTATACTTGACATTATGAGTGCCAACATTTTAGAGGAAAAAGAATAGAAGAAAACTTAAGGCATTGTAGATTTTCCTCTTTAAAGGTTTCATTGGTGAGAAATTTTTTTATAGAGTAAAACTCATGTTAAAGTTGAGACCTTGAAATTATTCTTCAAATAATTGAATTTTTTTCCTTTAGAATTGTCCATAGCTTAAACAAAGCACCAACCATGACTCCATTAAAAAAAAAATCATTCCTTTTCTGTTGTATGGCACACAGTTAAACCAAATAAAATACAGAGGTGCTACTAAATACATAGACTGTGTACATGGCTCCTCTCTGTGTTGCAGTGAAGGATTTTGGACAGAAGTCTATTGGCATGGTTAAGTTCTGCAGGAGACATACAGAAATGTGTACATGGCTGTGTTTGCGACTGTTGGTTAATAAATCCTTCTAACAGGATGTTGAGATTCCACTGCAAAGGAGAACCACTCATATTTTCTTATTCCCAATTTCTCCTTTAACTTTACAGAGATATTGGTGACTTTGTTGATTATTCTCCAACATAAATAACACTTTTCACAACCTTAGAAGCAGGAAAAATATATAGGCTGCTTTCCTAACTCTCCAAAGGGCTCAGGTTGTTTGTTTTTTGCCACTTCCCTGTGTATGTGGCAAATGATCATTAAAAAAGCTTTAAACTCTAAGTAATTATAAAATCTAGGTAATTTTTTCCAGGCTATATGAAAGTGTAATGCTTTCCTAACACTTTGACTGTATTAATAACTTTCGCCAAATAAGAAATTCTGGCTAGTTTTGCTTCTCCTTCATTCCTTCAAAATGCCACACATATAATCCCAGTATCTCTGGGGAATCCTGGCAGTGGTTATTGGCCCCTGACTGGGAATCTGATTGCTGTTTTTTTGTTTTGTTTTGAGATACAGTCTTCCTGTAACCCCAGCAGGCCTGGAAGTTGCTATGTAGCTCAGGCTGGCCTTGAATCTTACAGAGTTCCCCCTGCATCTGCCTCCCGAGTGCTGGGATGCTGGAATTAAAGGTGGCCACCACCCCTGATTGCAGGTTTTTATTAGCCAAAGAGCATGGTTTCATTCCTAACAGCAGAACATTCTGAGGGCTCCAACTCAAATCCTCATGGAACTGCTTGTATGAATTCAAGAACTGAAATGGTTTAGCTTGCTTCATGGTATTATTTAAAGCTATTGGGGCTGGAGAGATGGCTCAGTGGTTAAGAACACTGGCTGCTCTTGCAAAAGACCCAGGTTCCGTTTCCAGTACCCACATAGCAACTAACAACCTCTGTAATTCCAGTTCCAGGGGATCTGTTGCCCCCTTCTGGCCTCCACAGGCATTGCATGACATGGGTGCACTTACATACAAGCAGCAAAACACTCATACACATAAAATAAAAAGTAAATAAATAATTGATTTTTTAAAGCTATTGAGCAATTTATTAGAAATTTATAAATGTTAAAACTTGAAAATTATCTACTAAGACCTGATGTAGCCAATTTTCAGATAAGAAAACCTTATATCCTAGAATTTCTGCCTAAGATCCATAATATAATCAATAAATATTCTTGAGTATTTATTATTCAGATAATTGTATTTATAAATGCTTTTCCAGTTTATAGTACATTCATTTCCTATTATTTTATATCTTCCCATCAATGAAAATGCTTAGGCAGAAATTGATTTAAGGTGTTACGGAGAAAAATAATACCCTAGTAATGAGATTTTTAAATTTTTGCCTTTGATTTTAAGGAACTTCATCAGGTTTTTTGGAGTAAAATATTAATAAAAATACTGATTGAGTTACTTTTTCCCAAATAAGTCCAGAGATTCCACCTACCTTAAGTTTTCTTAAATCGAAGTCAAGTTAAATGGTTTTAAATTAAGCATGGTAAAACTGTAACTGATGGGGCTGGAGAGATGGCTCAGTGGTTAAGGAGCACTGGCTGCTCTTGCAGATGATCTGGGTTCCATTCCCAGCACCCACATGATGGCCCACCACTGTCTATAACTCCAGTTCCATGGCATCTGATGCCCTCTTCTGGCCTCCATAGGCATTGCATGACACAGGTGCACTTGCTTACATGCAGGCAAAACACTCATAAAATTTAAAAATTTATAAATTTGAAAAAATTTAAAAAACAAACCCATAACTTACTTGGAAATAGAACACTTTCTGCTCTGAAAATATCTAGATACTTGTTCTCTGTCTTTCTTATGTGCTATTTTAATACTCCTTGCACAGAAAGGTATGAAAAAATGTTTTGGATAAAATCTTTTTTAAATACGTAGTCTTATTTTGTTCCTTTTTACTTAAAAATATATTTTCGTTGCTAATTCTACAAACTGAAATTGTTGTTTTATAGGCAGTTGACTGGTGGAGCTTAGGTGTTCTAATGTATGAGTTACTAACCGGAGCATCTCCTTTCACTGTTGATGGAGAAAAAAATTCCCAAGCTGAGATATCTAGGTAAGACTTCAACAAATACCACAGAGTTACCTCTTTTAGGCTTTCATAAAATTATTCTGTTCTGCTCTTATAGCAAATATCTCAGTTGTGGTGTTTTTTATTTATGATCATTTGATTAAGATCTTTCTGTTCCACTACATTATATGTTCTGTGAGAGCAAGGGGCATGTCTGGCTTTGATCTTCAGTACTTACTGTGTGGTGTTCAGTAAATAATGGACAAAAACATGTGAAACAGCAGGTTTGAGAGCACTGGACATATGGCAATGGAGGGCAGGGGTCTCTGAGGTACAGAAAATAAACAAGATATGCCCTAAGGTTGCCCTATCCCAGCTGCTTACACTGAATTCCCAAGAGGCAGCATGGGGAGGGACAGCCCATGTGAAGTTGAGGAAACAGAACTGATGGTCCAGGGAGGCCTGGAGAGTCAGAGGGTCAAGAACACAGATGGGAATCCAGATATCTACAGAGGTGTTTTCCTATGGAAAACATAAGTGAGGAAACGATTTAGTATAGTTATTCTCCTCCAATTGATTTAAAGATTGAATACAATTGCAATTCCCACCAGCCTTTCCCTCCCTCCCTCCTTCCCTCCTTCCCCTCCTTCGAAAATAAAAATTGACAGTCTCATTCTAAACCTCATGTGCAAATTCAGAAGCCCTATGCAGGCAGATCACTTTTGAAGAAAGAGAACAAAGTTAATTTCAAGACTTTTCATAAGTAATTATACACTTTGGTTTTGGTGTCAACATAGACAGATGAATGCTGGGAGTGATGGTGCATGCCTGTAATCCCAGCACTGGTATGACAGAGACAGGAGCATCACTGCAGGTTCAAGGCTAGCCTGGTCAACATAGTTCCAGAGCAGCCACAAATACATGAGGTTGTCTCAAAAAATAAATAAATAAAAATGGAAGGAAGGAAAAAAGGGAGAGGGAAAGGGGAAAGAAGATAAATGAAACAGAACAGTGTTCAGAAATAGAACTATACATGTACATGCAATGGATTTTTGACAGATTCAAAGTCATCTGTCACCTCAGTGAGGAAAAAGTCTTTTCAGTAAATGGTGTTAAGTGATTGATTGTCCAGGTTGGACAAAAATGAACTTCAGTAAATGCTTCATACTAATATAGAAAAAATTTACTCAAAGTAGATACTAGACCTAAAGGTGAGAGCTACAACTATAAAACTTACTGAAGAAAACACTTTTTAAAAATCTCTGTGGGACCTGGGAGATGGTTCAGCGAGTAAAGGTGCTTGCCATGCAAGCCCGATAATCTGAGTTCCATCCCCAGAGCCCACATAAAGGTAGAAAGAGAGAGCTCTAAAAAGTTATTCTCTGAGCCGGGCATGGTTGGTGCATGCCTGTAGTCCCAGCACTTGGGAGGCAGAGGCAGGCGGATCTCTGTGAGTTCAAGGCCAGCCTGGTCTACATAGTGAGTTCCAAGCCAGCTGGGGCTGCAGGGAGACCCTGTCTCAAAAAGACAAAAAAAAAAAAGTTGTTCTCTGACCTCCATATGTATAGCGTGGAGCATCCCCCACCACACACACACACATGCGTGCACACACACACACATCATTATTTATAAAGTAGCCTACATCAAAATTAAATACTCTGTTCTTCAAAACTGTTACAAAAATGGAAAGACAAGCCACTGACTGGGATAAAATTTTAAATCATATATCTAATAAAGGACTGGTATCTGAAATATATAAAGAACTCTAAAAACCTAAGGAAACATCCAACTTTATTGTAAAATAGGCAAAAGCTTTGAACAGACATTTCACCAAAGGTGATCAGTGGGTGACAAGTAAGCACATGAGGACATGAGCAGTGTTGTTAGTCTTTAGGGAAATGATCCATAGTCAAATACTACTATATACTTACTCAGCTGGTTATGAAAAAGAAACCAGCCATACTAGCCACTGGTAAGGAACTCTGATTTCCATATACTGCAAGGGAGAATGTGAATAGGGAGAGTATAATAGTAAAGAATATAAATGTTACAAGTTTAGAAAACAGGCTGTTCTAGTTTGCTTTCAATTGTGGTGACAAAACACTCTGACCAATACCAATTTGGGGAGGGAAGGTTTTTTTGTCTCACGTCTCCTGGGTCACAGTTCATCCCAGAGGGAGCCCAAGATAGGAACTCAGGGCAGGAACCTGGAGGCAGGAGCTGAAGCACATGCCATGGAGAAACACTGCTCACTGGCTTGCTCCCTTGGCCCATGCTCAGCCTGCTTTCTTATACAATACTGAACAACCTGCCCAGAGGTGGCATCACCCACAGTTGTCTGGACCCTCCCATGCTACTCAAAAATCAAGAAAATATCCCACAGACATTGTCCCAGCCAGTCCAATGAAGGCAATTCCCCAATGGAGGCTCCCTCTGCCCAGGTGTATCAAGTTGCCATCTAAAGCTATCTAGCACATAGGCAGTTTTCTAAAAAGTGGAACATTACCTGCTCTATGATCCATCCATTCCAAACCCTAGGTATTTACCAAGTTAAATGAAACATGCCCTTAGAAAAAACTTGTACAGCAAAAACTTGTACAGCAAATATTTATTTAAAATTTACTTTAGGGGCTGGAGAGATGGCTCAAAGGTTAAGAGCACTGCCTGTTCTTGCAGAGAACCCGGGGTCAATTCCCAGCATCTGCATGATGGCTAACAACCATCCTGACTCCATTCCAGGGGATCTGACGCCCTCTTCTGACCACCTTAGGCATTGCACGACATGGGTGCACTTACAGACATGCAGGCAATACACTCATGCACAATCTTTTTTTAATTTACTAGATAGCTGGAGAGATGGCTCAGCAGTTAAGAACACTAACTGTTCTTGCAGAAGACCTGGGTTCAAATCCCAGGACCCACATGGCATCTATGAACTGTCCGTAACTGCAGTCCCAGGGGATCCGACAGCCTCGTCTGTCCTCCAGAGGCATTGAAGGACACGGGTGCGCTTACCTACATGCAGGCAATACATACATATACATAAAATAAAAATAATAAAAAATTTAAAAAAAAAAGAAACCAGGTTGAGCACAGGCCAGAGGAACAAGCCAGTAAGCAGCATTCCTCCATGGCCTGTGCTTCAGCTCCTGCCTCTAGGTTCCGGTCTTTTTGAGACAGCCCCAGCTGTCCTAGAACTCACTATGTAGACCAGGCTAGCCTTGAACTCACAGAGATCCGCCTGCCTCTGCCTCCCTAGTGCTGGGATTAAAGGCGTGCGCCACCACGCCCGGCAAAATTTCTTTAAAAAAAAAAAAATTTACTTTAAAATTTTTTCCAGTTTTCACTCAATTGGAAATAACCAGATATCTGTCAGCAAGTAAGTGGTTAAACAAATTGTGGTTTATTCATACAAATAGAAAGCTACTTAGCAATAAAAATATTCGTTCAGTGTATTAATTACCCCTAGAAGTTGGATGAATCTCGAAATAATTGTGCCAAATGAAAGAAGTCAGACAATATAGAGTACTTATCATATGATTCCAATTCTGGAAAACGACAACTCATTTATAATAATAGGAACAGAATAGTGGTTAGCACAGGATTGGGATGGTAGGAGAGAAGGAAAAAAGTCACACAGGAACATGGAACAACTTCGGAAGTGATGAGTTTCTTCATTATCTTGATGGTTGTGCTTTCATAGTTATATACACAAGACAAGCCTTATCAAACTGTACACTTTTCTAAATATGATTTTTAAATTTTAATTTTAAATGGATTTTTTAATAAGTTGCAAAATTCCTCATGACACCTATAATCCCAGCTTTTCATGAGGCTAAGTCAGAGGGCTGTGAGTTTCAAGCTAGCCTAGGCAGCTTATGATATCCTGTCTAAAAA